GACTAGAGCCCTTAGGAGTGCTGCCTGTGCCCTAGGAGATAGATATTTTCCATGGGGTAAGGAGATGTAAATATCTCCCTTTCTCCTCTTCAACTCCAAAGAGAAACATTTTATTGTATTGTGATATGAATCTGCTTCTCTACCACACAAACCTGAATGTGGCTTTTTCATCTATTTTTTTATGGTTATGCATCTCTGTGTGGTAACACTGAGCTGTAGTATTCTCAGGGGTGCAAATAAATAAGCAAAAGTGCATACATGATTGGTTATGACTCTGTTTCCCTCTGTGATACCAAAGGGAAGGTGCAGATTCAGCCTAAGCCAGAAGCTACCAGTTAAACGCCAACTGCAGACCATGCTTCTGTTCCTAAATGGAATAAAAATTATTTTTAACTTAAGAATTGTTTTCTTCTAGGCCTTGCTAGACCTAAACTAAATGTCATCTAAAAAGAGGATATATTTATCACTGCTTTTTTTTCTTTATATTTATTTTATTATACTTTTTGAGGCAAGGTTTTGTTATGTTCTCCCAGCTGCTCACAAACTTAATTAATTTTCCTGCCTCAGCCTCGGGAGTAGCTGGGACAATATGTGTATCACTGCCTGAAACCGGTACTACAAAGTTGAAAGTAAGGACACCATCATTCTACAGCATGAAATCTGGTAAAGTCATAATGAATGAAGGTAACAACTGAGAGAGAAAGCCAAGTCTCAACTTTAGGTTTGTAGTCAATCTAGAGGCTTTCATGCCAAACATGTGGAAGTTTTTAATGCAATTGATGTACAAGTGTTTAAGGGTTGGCCCAATAAACTTCGAGGTCACTGAAACTTCTTAAATATTAACTAAATTAATCAAGTATATATAAAGCACTAAGCTAGGTTTGGTGGTACACTCCTATAATGCCAGCACTCGGAAGGTTGAGGCAGGAGAATTGCTGCAAGTTCAAGACCACCTGGGCTACTAAGTGAGTTCAAAGCCAGCCTGAACTGCATAGTGAGACCCTGTCTCAAAAAGACAAAGAAATAAATAAATACATAAGCAAACATTAGTGTGTATTCCAATTTAATGTCATTGTTCCCAAGAGAGACCAGACTCCATAATTAGGAGCAAAAAACTACAACCAACCAAACAAAAAACAACCCAAAAAGTAGGAGAGGCCAGAAAACAAGGTGAAGAAAGTATTGCCACATCCTTCGATGTTTGCACAAAAGCCAACTTTTATGTCCAGAGATTGGCAAAGGGCCTGGGATGTAGCTCAGTAGCCCAAGGGCCTGCCTGGCAAGTCTAAGGTCCTGAGTTCAAGTCCCAGTACAAAAATAAAAAAATAAAAATAAGCAAAATGCCACTTGCCTTTATCAGTACATTCAGAAAGTTAATGATGATTGAAATGTAAGACAGGAGACACTGAGGCAGACGTCAGGCTGCCAAATAATCATGGAAAGCACAATAGGGAAACAAAAACAAAAACATGTGATTCACCAGTAGCAAGCACACAAAGAAAGAAACACAACTGTACCCTACAAACTTGGGAGTCACGGCAGGAGGACGCAGTAGGATACGGGACCAGGCCCTCAGAGCTTTGTCAGATGTAAACAACAAGCGCATTCTGATGAGTGTTACCAATACCACGTGACCCCTGGAGAGCAGCCTGCAGGACGGTCCTGGCAGTGCCCTCAAGAGCGCTGTCAGGGTCTGATCTAGCCTGAACTGAGAAGATGACCTGAAGCCTGAGAACACCGCTCTGGACTACGGTAACAACCCCCACTAGACACGGAAAACAACCCAGAAGCAGAGGCCAAGTCATCCAGTGGAGGCTGTACTGACGTCACAGCAAGACCTGACTGGCCGGAATTCTCCACCAACAAAGTCTGAAATCACAGTGGTGGGAAAGGCCGTGCCAGCCCCAACCTGAGAAGGGGAGGAACGGGGCTCAGCTAAGGTCATCAGAAGCAGACAGTGCCACCCACTCCCTAAACCAGGAATCGGGACCCAGGGTGAGTCTGTTCAGAGCTGCTCCTATTTAAACCAAGTACAGTAACTACACAGACACACGCACAAACACACACACTTGCATACATGTACATGCACACTACGTCAATAAAATTTAAAAACCACTTGTCAGAGGAGATCATGGCAGGCAAAAACTAGATAAAGAATTTATTATTTTAAGGAAAAAAACCAAGTACAATAAAAAGATCATTTCCCAAAAATACATCATGCCATAAAGAACCCAATAACATAAATTCAATGCTATGAGTTCAAACCAAAGATAAGCAATCAATGAAATGAACGAAGAAACTCAGCATAGAGAAACGAGAGCAAATGTCACTTTAAATGTAATAAATGTGCTGTGAACATCAAGCCACAGGCGTACAGAGGCACTACATTACTGAGACTCGTGAATAAGATGGACTGAGAGTTTCCATCCCGCGTGACAGGATATGCATGAGAAGAAAGGATTTGGGGGCAAGGAAACCAATCCACGTGGAATGGCCCATCAACAAAGGAGGAAGAAAACACCCTCAAACACTTCTTAGACTAACAAAAGAAATGAAATTGCAGACGGAATCATTCCAGAAAACACACCCAAAAGCAAACCAAAAGAAGGATCTCAGGAGTAAAATGGTTAAGAGGCCTACGGCGAAAGAGACAGCGTCCTTGCAAACGCAGGAAAGCACAGAACTAGACATCAGTGAGATTTTTGTTACTGAAAAAAGAAATGGCTTAGAGCCTTTGAAAAAGGAAATTGGATAACACAGATAGGAAACCATCTGAAGGCCAAACAAGGAAGTTGGAAGTATTCATCTTCTTATTTTTACCTAATTAGGAGATCAGATAATGCTATATAAAATTTAAGACTTTGACATCATCTTGATGCTTTTATAACCTTTTTTCTTAACTTTAGAACTTTTTACGAGCTCTGTGGTAAAAATCACTGACTGGAACCAGACCAATCCATCTACTCTTTTTCTTTCTACTAAAATAGCTAATGCGAAAACTCCTGCTAAGAGGAAAACTTTAGACAAATTAACTTTAGAAAATTACATTTGAGCAAAAAGCAATTCCTGCATCAAGCAGCATCCCTAATCACTGGAGAGGGCTAAGCAGGAAACCTGTCACACTGCCCACTGGAGCAAAGCTAAGTGTGTGCCCTGCGTGGCCAATTGTGACAGGCTGGCCCTGGGCAGTGAAGCCTTCCTTACTTGTGACTGGCCCAAGTTTGACTGCTTCTCTGTATGGCTCTGATGGAAGCTGTAGTGGCCCATTTTCAATGCTATAATAAAACCCCCATCTGTCACCCAACTCCAAACACAGGTCTACAGTTGCAGGTGTAGTTACAGCCGTGGCCCCGCTGTTTGGTACAAACTTTCAGATTACTTCCTCCTTTATTGCTATAACAAAGTGCCAGTGGTCTTGCAAGTGGTGTCACCAAGTCTGTTAAATGACTCATGACGCTCCCTTCATGTTCGGTTGCTCTGAGCAGATAGCAGTCATTGCACACACCACACACAGCTGTGCACCAGCGTCTAAGCGCCCTGAAAGGACACCTCATGATGAGTCACATGATGCCTGTCCAAAGCATAGCACCAAGAGGCCAAGTGCACACCCCAGTAGGAGCCCACATACCACACTCGAATAAGCACGGGTACCAATGAATAGAAGACTTGACGTAACCAAGCAGTTTGTTTGTGGATTTCTTATACCTGAGTATTTACCGTATCATATATATTTACATAGGTACCACAAGAGATATTAACTTTCCTCCCACTATTTGTCAGCCAACAAGTAGTACAAAGCTACTCAGTGGCCTAAAACAGTCAGTAAGAAATGGAGAAATTTGCGGTGTAACTATTATAGCCATGGTAGCTAAAATCTGCAGTGGCTTTTTTTTTTTTTTTTTTTTTTTTTGGCGGAGAGGGGTGTACTGGGTATCATGCAGGGGTTTCTTAATCATAACCCAAGTTACCTTTGTGCCAAGTCTGGGAAGGAATATTCTACCAAAGATGCTCTTTCAGAGGGGTTTGTGGCATCTGGAAACCCCCACTTCACCCCATAGTGCAAATGAAGAGAGGCAACTAGTGTTCATTTCTGACTGGTTCTGGGATGGCTGGTGTTCTCAGAACCCTTCGCCCACACTGATCCTTTCTTCTCACTATGGAGACCTTAGGTTTCCCATGCACACTGTTGATTGTCAAATCCTTTACAGATAACTATACTCTGGAGGGCCCCAACAATTCCCTGTGGGACGCCTTGTGTACACAGAGTCACCAACTGGGAAGCACTAATAGTGTTTATCCATGGCTCTGCTATTGAATTATTACCATCTGGAGGCTTCTAACAACTATGACACTAGAGTAATAAATTTGCCTACAAACAAAGTGTCTTACTTTTGGCTTGCTTATTTGATTTCTGATATAATTTTGCTATAAAATCCTTACTACAGGTTTTACACACTTGCCAGATTTAAACAAGAAATCTAATATGATAATCTAAAAACTTAAATTTATAGAAAGGTCCAGATATGCAACTGAACAAATAACCACACTTCGGATATCAGTGCAACTGGCTTCCAGCTGAACTAGAAGTTCTGTGAGATCACGAAACAATTTAAGACTTAATATGACACACTCAACATTTAGAGAAGTTCTCATTAGCAATTATCGATTGTAAAACCTAGTTATTAAACTGTCGTGCCCTGAAAAGGAAAGAGGCAGAGCAGAGCAGATAGGAGCAGATGCCGGGGCTATGAGAAAGTGTATTCTCCTTCCTGGAGTGGCTGGCCCCCCGGTGTGGAAGCCATTGCTGCTGGGAGTCCTGCCTGTGCAGCTTTGCCTCCTTCCCAGGGGCTGCCTGTCCCAAAGGTCTGCAGTCCCACCTGCCCTGAGCAATGCAGTTCAATACCACACGCACTGAAGTCTGGCTGCAGTGAATGTGGAGAAAAATGACTATGCACGGCTCCTTCCAACAAGGCTCCAGCACGGTCCTCAGTGTCACTTACCAAGGGCCCCCGCCTCCAGCTTCCAGACTCCCAAGGGTCTGCTTCTCGTCTGCTGGAGAGCTGCAGAGGGCTGCTTTGTCCCTGTGAAGATCCACGGTAGCACAACGCTGAGGGCCTTGCAGCTCTGATTGTATCACAGTTACATGTGGAAGACTGGTGAAGCACTATTGTTAGAAGCGTAACCTTCCAGAAAGTGTGTTACACAGGACAAAACTGCATTTGGCTCTGGGCATGGACCTGCCTGCCCCCGCTCATGGGTGGTGTTGGCATCAACCCGGGAAGCTGTGCCAGTGCCACTGTGTTTAGGCAGCCTCTGTAATTGCTGTGTGATGTGTCCAAGCAAATAGTACCTGTCACTGGATATTTTCCCAGAAATTCCTCACAAATACAACACATTCTCTAAAGATGCTTGGCTTTTGTTATCATATCAGCTTTTCTACCTTAGAAAGATCCTAAATGACCAGAACATGGTCATTAACGGTAGGTGAAATTCATTTGCAGGTAATCAGATGATCCAGCCAGAGCCAGAAATACTCGCCCTGAGATTTTTGTTTGTTGCCTGCTTGCTTGAGACAGGGTTTCACTATGTAGTGCAAACAGGCCTTTAACACTATGCAGACCAGGCTTGCCTCAAATTCATGGTGATCCTCCTGCCTCAGCCTCTTGAAAACTGGGATTACAAGCATGTGCCACCACCCAGCTTCTCCTTGAGATTTTTATTGTTCTATGAGAAGTTGTGAAAACCAGAATGTTGGTTGTGAACCACTACTAGTCACTCTACTAATACTTTCCAGAGTTTGTATTATTGTAGCTATTTATTAATTAGTGATAAACTTCAGAGCTTTTAAAAAAGGTGTTTTAAGAGTTCAGGGAAAACAGACCATAGCCAGGCTCTCAATGAATTTATGTCTTTTATCTTTGCAAAAATGAGTTTCATTTCATCAACCCAGTTGTATTGTGTTGTTTATTAATAGGTTATCATGTGTTATTAGATGCTCATCGACCCCACATTCAGTTTGCACAGCTTAACAATTTCAGAACTGGATACCTTGGCACATTCTCTGGTGCACAATCCATTCTTGTAGTACCTGATGTTAGATTAGAAGTTTCGTGAGCCAGCCTATGTCTTCCATGGAATTCCAAGCGTTCCTCCCCAGTCTAACTGGCCTTTTTTACTGTATCAGAGGCCCGCACTTGTCCAAGTGCTTTACATAAACCTCCTCAGTGATGAAGAATTTTAAGTTTAGAGTTACACACGATAGCTGTCAGGATAATAAGAAAATAAAACAACTCTTTGCAGGTGACAAGACTTAACTGGCCACGGCAAAGATCTGATAAGAGTTTATTAGAATGCAATTATTGAGGAAATTTTATTATTTCTGCAAGACATAATACTTTAATATAATAACTAGAACTATGACTGGGAATGTTATACCTGCATTATTAGATTTCTAAAAAATTCACACAATTTTTGCAACTTCTATTAGTAACATGCTCAATATATACATGCTCCATTTAACCAAAAGAAAGTTAAGTATAACTTATTATTACTTATTTTATAATGTTTCTGATGCAATTTTATATGTCAGATAATCCTAATTAATTTCACAGCTCTCTTTTATAAAGAAATGGAATAAATTCTAAAATATTTTAGAGGCCTTTGTGAAACCAATGCTTTAAGAAAATCTTATCAAAACTTCTTACATTAAAATTCTTCTTGAAAACTGTTAAAATTTTCAAAAAGTTTAAAACATTTGATTAAAATAAAATCACAGGTCACTGTGAAACAATCACTGTTCATTTATCAAGAATGATAAAACACTGCAAGTGCAAACACACAAAGTGATTATTGTAGATAAACCAAAAACCACTTAGCTTGAATTGAGAGAGAGCTCAACTCTTAAACTATCAAAGACCTACCAGAAGCAAAACAGTGCAGAAAAAATACTTGAAGAGAAACTCTTAGCAGAAAGAGTCAAATTTTAGATTTTCTTCAGTGTATTTTTGATACTAGTGCTCAAATTTTAGGAAAACTTATAATTTCTCTCTAATCTTATCTTGAACACACATAAAATCCCTTTTCCACGATTCTTCTTCCTTGACAACCTTCTCTACTTTCTTGTATTCACTCAGCTTCTGTACTTCCCCTCGTTCTCATTTTGGAACCACTAATCATTCATCTCTGCAGCGAGAAGTACCTTGTGTTTCCGCTTACAAAAAAGCCACGTTCTCACACCTACTTTTGTCTCCCCCAAAAGCACATGGTGTCTTCCTTGCATACTTGCAGACAGCGCTGTTTCCCTCATTATCTGTTTTTTAGTTACGTGTGTTAACTAAAAACACCTTAATTTTCAGTGAACCCTAGGAAACCAGAAACTGAGCTGTTACCCCAGTCGGTGGACACTGGCAAATCATGAATAATAACCCACATTTTTCTTCATCGTGGTTCAGTCTGTCAGGGTAGCACGGAACCTGATTTCTAACGGCCTCTCAATAATGAGAAACTGCAGCGGGGCAGGATTTTAGTTCTATTCTCCATGGATTGTTCCAGCCAAGGCTGAGAATTAAACGGTACGAATTCCCCTCAGGCTTCATTTTCTCTTCTTCATGATAAATGATGATGAAACCTTTTGTATAGGAAAGACATTTCACATAGGATTTTGACCTTATTTCGTGTATGATTTTACTCAATAGCAATGTTGCTAGTATTAGTTATGAATATAAGACATTAAATAACTATTACCTTAAATAATTACTTCTGCTGAAAAACCGTAATATAGAGATAACATGAGCTTATTTTAGTAATAAGCCTAGACAGGAAGCCTAGACAGTTTTAATAGATACATTACATTTACTCATCTGATTTAAGCCAGCTGACATTATTCAGCTTTTTCCCCTAATAATTTGCATAGAACACATTAACTTGAAAAGTATTTTTGTTAATGTTTATCATGCTGAGAGTTTAAGAATACTTAATTTCTATAATCACTTACTTTTCTCTAAATCAGTTATATAGTGCTCTTCACCAATTTTGTTTTGGCAATAGTAAAACAGGTAGAGAAATACCACAAACAGAAAGCACACAAACAGACCCACATAAACACATAAACAGGAGTAGATCATAGAGCTTTCAGCCCAGTAAAATAACACAAAGTTTACTCGGAGTCACTGAGGAATATCTGGAGCTGGCCAGGTTTCTGCTCACTGGAACAAGATTCCTGGCCCAGAAAGCCAAAGCTGCTGCCTAATATTTGTGGGAAAATTAAGAGAATTTTTTTTTTTTTTTTTTTTTTTGCCTTCTGTAAGGAATCTCTTAGGCACACAATCTTTGATTCATTTAAAAATCTCTGTGCATCAATGACAGCTTTCCATTGCTTTTTGGGTTTAAAAAAAATTTTCTTTTCTAATGCATCTCACAAGTGAAGAATTTTAAGTTAAAAATGTCCCATAGTGGCTACTCTAAATGTAAGATTTCTTTAGTAAGTTAATCCAGCTTTCCAAAAATACATGGATTTGGATCCATAATTTTTATACATAAAATAAACCAATGTCCATGCACAGGGCAGACTTCTTGGAGTCAAAGGAATTGATACTCAGATTGTAATGGTCTGAGGTCTCTAACCAAATCCAGTCCAATTATTTACTACATCCTCTCAAATTCTGAACTCTACCCAATAAAATAGTGCTCTAATAAAGTTGGCAAATCTGGTATGGAAATGCACAAAGTTTCAGCCTGAGAGCAACTCACCTACCATCCCCCAGTTGCTAAGAGAGCACGGTGGGCACAATGGCCCTGGAAGTGACCTTCTCACAGCTCCCTTCAACCCCACTCTTTGTACCAGACTGCTAAATGAAAAACTTCAAACAAACTCAGGTTAGCAAAGTTCCTCAGGGGAAGAATATTTATGAATGAGGCAGCATTCTGGACCAGTGGAGGCTGAGTCTACACCAAGCTATGTGGACACCATGCTCTTAGGGTCAGACATGGGCAGCAGACAAGGTCAGGAGCAGGTACATGCAGAGTGGATGCAACGAGGTGTCTTCCTTCTTGGGGTCTGATGTGAGCAGCTGGCTGCTTATGATTGGCAGAAATCTACATGTTTGTGATTGGCTGCAAATCAACTGTCTTTTATGCTCCTAAGTTACATCTCATTTTTTCTCAAATATCAAATTATGTTTCAGCATGCTATGCAGGAATTCAAACTATGGAGACAGACTTGTATCTACAGCCTCCTGCTCACTTCTCTTATATACTTCTCTACTACTGTTTATGATATGATCACATTTTATAAAGTGATCACTGTGTTTAAGTGAGCTTATGACTCTCCACTGACACACAATATAGGTTAAATGCCTAGAAAGCATTTACCTAAAATGATGAGGATTATTTCAGCATTATGATATTGGGGTGATTTTTCCTCTCTTTGCTGCTGTCCATTTTGCTTCAATGTTTTATTGTACAGTATTGGATCACCAGTGGCTGGTAGCTCCTAAAACTTGAAAGAATGAAGGGCCGGGTCATGACAGGCCCACACTCTGGAACATATTCTATTGTTTCACAGTTTCTTTGGCTGAGCCGCTGTGGAATGAAATTATTTTATTCTAAAGAATAAAAAATTGTTAGCCAGCTAAAAGTAATGGGTTTACCAAGAGAATTGGGCAACAGAAATGCAATAAAGATGTTTTAAATCCAGAAAAGCACTTGGGAAAAGCATTGTTGAAAGTCAAAAAGAATAATAAAATCTTGCATTTTTGAATACTTTTCATCTTCAAAGTTCACTTCATAGAATACTTAGTTATTTTTCATGGAATACCCTGAAGATACTAGGAACAATCACGGCTTTTATTACTGAAAAAGACAGACAATTGCATGTCCCAGTCTCTCTGAGTTTATGGATGTCTGCTATTTATTATTTCTAAAGACAAGGACCTCTCTGAATGTGGTGCAAGCTAATAGGCCATTTTTTAAAATTTCTTAATTTGAAACCTAAAGAAAATTCATTTTTATACACATGCTGTTAAACCAATGCACTTATATTTTAAGCTAAATGTGTGATAGCCTCCTGGCGTTCATCATATCATATGTAAAAATATATTATGAGTTCAAATATCTACTTACAGATATGGAAAATTAAACCAGAAGAGTCCCCAGCCCAGCCCAACCCTTTCACTTTACAGGTGAGGAAATACGATTTGCCAAAATTTGTTTAATAATTGACAGAACTTAGGTTCAAACTTGCTTCTCTCAGGAGTTTGCTCTCTATGTAGTATACAGTAATATCTTCCTTCAACC